GGTGTGGCGGTTGCTTTACACCATATTACCGTATCTATCGGTCCACGGGTTGCTAAGTTGGGTTGTGCCTGTCATAGGTAAATGTCAGTAGTGTAGACAGTTGTTTTCGCGGGCACGATGCTTATGTGATCTTGATAGACGTGATTTGTAATATTGATATTGTGTGGGCAATGTTATTCGGGCGCATTTTTACCCAAAAAGTGTCGGGATTGTTGTGTCCCATTATTAGTAGTATAAATTAGTAGCACGATTTTACCAAGCGCAGCGGGTACCCGCAGCTAGTATATATATATATTATATTCGTTTTATTCATTACATAATTTTATGAATCGCCCAATGTACGAATCATCTATTGCGTGTCTCGATATACGCATATAATGTGCGCTAAATTAGAATATACATCTCTCATCGAAGACATGCGTGAAATAAAAGCAAAAAATTACGAGTGACAGACAATTACACGACGAAAAATATTCAATCCTTCGATCGATAATAGAACCACCGGTTTAATCACAATGTCGCAAAAAACGAAAACAAAAACAAAATTCAAACACGGAGAGAAGACGCGCAGTAAATATTATCGGAATGTGATATCCTGCTTCTCTCATTCGACCGTTCTCTTACTTTTTCAACCTCTCTCTCTCTCTCAATGCATCCAACAGCTACAGCAGCGACAGTGCACGTGCGTCGTAGGCGACGGATCACGCTTCACCTTCAAGGCGCCGAAGATGGTGGCGCTCGACTCCCAGTGCCGCTCGTCTCCCGCAGTGAGACGTCTGCTGAGGGTCGGCTGTACGGAGCGTGAGACGAGCAGGCAAGAGAAGTGCACTACGGCTCTCATGCGCAGAGCCTCCTGCAACCGCAAGTCCAGCCCGGCCTGCTCGATCCCGATTGTTTTAGAACGCAGAACATAGATGGCGCCAGCGGTTACGCAAGCACGCAGAAGGCGGCGATGTATATGGAAATTATTCTTAATTATTCTGCATATCCGAGTTAATATCATAATTTCATCAGTGTGCAACTGTGTCATAGGAAGACCAAATATACGTAAATAATACATCACATAATGCAATTATATATATATATATATACTGTACGTCTTTTTGTTTACAGCAATTTTTGACATGCATGTTTATCCATAACTACTGTCAATAAATCTTTGTTATTACTAACAGTTGATTCGTTGGAGCGTGTATCTTTGTGTTAATATCACGTGAATGGTTCAGCGAGATAATTTTTTTTATTAATTGTTCGTTAATTCTGTGTTTGATACGGAATATGTTAGCAAGTGTGCCGGCATTTTTTTCAAATAAATTAATTGTTGCGGACTTAGATTCACCGGCTGAAGTCGTATGGGTCGGTGTGTGCCTGGCACTAGTTGGCAGACGGTTGCAGACCTGGGCCACGTGGCCAGAAATATCATAAATACACTAAAATTATAATGATCGCACCACGTATATTTTTTATTCCTGAACTTCACTACAAAAGTCGTGACGGTTTATGGTCACGACGTCGCAACTACTTGATCTTGAAAGACGAAACTGAATGATGTTTCTGACAGCAGGGGCGTTGGAAACTAAACCGCTCCTAGGAACCGCACGCGCTGTTTCTCTCGTCGATATGGATCATGTCGATATGTTGATATCGTATATTGCACTTATATTCATGCACACTTAGGCGCAACGCTGCATATAGTAACGTATAGCTAGTGATCGTATGAATAATCGATTACCAAGTTCTATTTGAAATTCGATTTCCGCGTGAATATGTATGATAGAAACGAAATAGCCACGCCCGCTATAGTTACATAACGCGATCTAGTTTTGTTTAAACATGGTTATTCAAATATTTCAATGCTACATACACCAAACAAATGTCCCGATGTGACGATTAGACACATTATGCTGACAGTGCGTACATCTAAAATAAATTATATTATCCGATATATGGCGCACGAATAACACACGTACATTCGATTGCAATCGCGAAATCACACACAAGGTTTTAGATACCTAGATTATTAAATACATAAACGCGCAATCATACTATCGAACCAAGAGAGTATTAAGACGCTTCTTAATACGCTCTTGATCGAATGTTACTTCAGGTTTATCTGAGTCAGTGAGAGATTGGCATGACAATTGGTAGCATTACACCACTTAGCTTCCTTATTTTATTCGTAAAACTAACTATAACAAATCACCTGTTAAATTTGAAGACACCCTAGGCATCTACACATCACAAAATAAAATATAATGACAATGAAAGTACGTCACGACATTTTTTCAATACAGATAAGTGAAAAATGTTAAAAGATGAAAAGAATCAAAGACAAACTTGTAAACGCTAAATGGCCATAAGATTACCGCAAATAAGCATATCTATGATAAATATCCAGCCAATTAATTAATAAATGTTCAGAACTCGGGGGATAGCTACGCGCTATATTTCTGCTTCGCCGTGGCGTAGCCGCCCTGCATTCTGGGATACACCCACGTGATTATCGCGCGCGACGCCGTCGGCAACCCATTGAAGCTTATATGACGTCACTCGTTTACACGAGGCTTTCCTCGATCTCTCTCTCTCTCTCTCTCTCTCTCTCTCTCTCTCTCTTGTCCTCTCGCTCTATATTTCGCTTTGTTTCTCACGTTCTCTCTTTCTTTCTCTCTCTCTCTCGCTCTCTTTCCTTCTCCTTTTCGTTCTCTCTCTCTCTCTCTCTCTCTCTCTCTCCCTCTCGCTATTCCCTTCTCTCTCTCTCTCCCTCTACTTCTCCCTCTCACTTTCTTTATCGCTCTCTTTCTCTGTCTGTCCGCCCCTCTTTCTTTCTCACTCTCTCTCTCCCCACCTCTCTCTCTCTCTCTCTCGCGCTCTCTCTCTCTCTCTCTTTACGGAACCCACTCTTCTTCCCTGTCCGGAGGCGCTCCCGGAACTCGTGCTTCCAGTTCAGCGATAAGAATGTTCTTAGCCTCAAGCTTAGTCTCGCACTGAAATAAAGCACACCCGGGGCAAATCGCTTAAGTACACGCTTAGTCATCGGCAAACAAATTCTAACGGGCAGAGCTATTAGGTGAGGAGGTCCCTTCGTGGGGAGTACCTCTTTCAGGCGGCCGATCAGGGGGAGGAGGAAGAGAGAGATATTATCTATAGTCACGGTGTGTGTGTGTGTGTGTGAGGTGGGAGGGGGAGGGGTACCGCTTTCAGGCGGCCGGTCAAAGGCAGAGATGGGGAGGAGTGGCATGTGTAGCTACGCTGTGGGGGAGAGGGGGTACCTATCTCAGGCGGTCGGTCAAGGGAAGGGGGAGTGAAGGGCGTCGCGTGTAGCCACGCTAGAGGGTGGGTGGGGGTAGACGTACCTCTTTCAGGCGGTCGGTCAGGGCGAGGAGGAGGGAGGGCTATTATCTATAGCCACGCTATGGGTGAGGGAAGGGGAGGGGAGGGGAGGGGAGAGGAGGGAAGGAAAGGGGAGGAAAGGGAAGGGGAAGGGAGGCGCGTACCTCTCTCAGGCGGTCCTTGCAGATCTTCAGTTCTATAGCGAGCACGGCGGCTGATCTCTGTGAGAAGGCGGTCACGGTTATCTTACTCACGCCTGCCTCCGTCGGCGTGACGTCAACCTGCACGTTTAGGCTTCGCAGACGTCTCAGCTGCAGCAAGCGGCGGGAATATGTGGGGTTAAAAAATGTGGCGAATGCTGCGGTGAATCTGTTACGTAAACGTAGAGGGCGTTAGTGAGGCAGATTACGTTAGTGTTGTGTCGGTGTTACCTTTAGTGAGGCAGACTACGTTAGTGTTGTGTTGATGTTACATACGTAGGGGGCGTTAGTGAGGCAGGCTACGTTTGTGTTATGGCGCTGTTTTATTTTAGTGTCGTGATCGATTTGCATGACGCATGACGCATGACCCAAGTAATACACAACAGTTACAGCACTAAAAGTGAAAAAACGAAAAGGTAGAAAAAACTAACTCGTGTTTCTAAAACCACGGAAATAAACAATCATGCCGCGGTTTATAATAAACATTAAATCTACATTATAAAATATATAGACTAGACGCAGGAACATATATACATTTATTTAAACTTTTTTTCTTTTTACAAAAGGAAGGTATATTCTTGGCGTGAGAAACTCGTATCGTAATTAAGAACGACGGAGTGAGGTCGTACCTTGGGTAAGAAGAGCAGGAAGGCTGTAAACGTAGTTCCACCGATGATGAAGCTAGAGACGAGGCCGTATTTGACGGGCGGGTTGTCGGGCAGGATGAACGTTATGGCGACGCCCATGAACGACAGAACGACGGCGTTGTAGATGCAGACGCCGATCAGCTGCGAGTCGTTCAATGCCTCTACCTTCACCTATAGCGAAACAAACATGCAAATATTACGAGGTAAATCACAAGAGAGAGAGAGAGAGAGAGAGAGAGAGAGAGAGAGAG